ACACACACACACACACACACACACACACACACACACACACACACACACACACACACACAGATGTTTGTTTTAGGCTGCACGTGATAAAACATGTTTACATGGAGTCGTTCTTGTGTTGGAGTAAACAACGCTGCTGCTTCACCTGTCCGATCAGACCGCGCGCGCGCTGACGTGAAGATGTGGGAATGTGTGTTTGAAAAAGGAAGTTTGCACGTGACAGCTCTCTTGACAGTTTGTCTCCCTCCTCCTCCTCCTCTTTCTCCTACTCCTCCTCCTCTCTGCAGATACAACACATGGGAGCCAGAGGAAAACATCCTGGACCCCCGCCTCCTCGTCGCCTTCCAGCACAGGTGAGAGCGCGACGTGGACTTCGCACCGGGCCTGCGCAGCCTCCAGCTCCAACCATGACCATATAAGGGCATGGGAGGAGGGGCGCTCCAGTACCTCTGCGACCCACCACCCTCCTCCTCCTCCTCCTCCCTCCCTACAGGGCTACACACAGGGGCACAAACTGAATGAGGGTCACATTTAAGAAAATAAGCTTGTCTGAATCAGGATTTTTCGGAAAGGATCAGTCCTCCAGAGGGCGTTTTCACAAACATTTTCATATTAATTTGTTTTTAATTTTTCCCTTAATTAGAGGTCAACCAATAACATCATGGCTGATACTGATGCCGATTTTTGAATATCAGGTGTACAACACCAGCATTTCTTAGTTATTATGTTATTTTCTTTAACAAAATCATACAATAGCTGTCTTATTTGAATAACAAATCTGATAGAACCTGTACACAAWAAATAAGTGCATTTTTGCTTACAAATTAGATAATAGCAGCTGCATCACCTGATCACCAAATGATTTTGAATAATTGGTTTGTCTACCTGCGTGGCTGAGGCAGGTGGGAGTACAGGAGATAAGCTTACCGAGGACACAGATTTGTTGTGGATTAGCTCTGACCCCTCTAACCGTCTGAGCTATCCTTTTTTTTTTGTTCTTGACTGAACTCCCAAACTGTTTTGTCACGTGACGTCAAATAGCCTTCACGAACTGAAAGTTACCCCTGGATGTGTGAACTTGCAACGTGTCACGAGTTTACTAATGTTGGACAAACGATCCGAGCTGTCAGCGTCAGAGGTCGAGATGTTAATTAATTCCAATCTGCCTTGTCGTTTCATCTCATCTGGTTTTTGGACCCTGGAGGCCCGAGTGAGATCCCCTCTCTCTGTGGGCCGCAGTGTGCTCYTGGGAGCGAGCGAAGACATGATGGCTGGGGAAAGGAATTCGCGTTTCTGAAAAGGCTAATTGACACACAGCGCTCCTCAACGTTTCCAGTGTACCGCTCTCATATTCCCCCCGCAGCCTGCCTGCCTCTGTGTGTGTGTGTGTGTGTGTGTGTGTGTGTGTGTGTGTGTGTGTGTGTGTGTGNTAGTAATATAATACATGAAATGCAAATACTTTTTAAGTAAAGTCCTTTATTTTTAATGATTAAAGTATGCAATGGCCCTCTTTTGTTTTAGTCTGTGCACTTGGAGAAAGTCTGCCATATGCTCAAATTGCAAAGGCACATGGGACATTTCATAAATTGATAAAATATGAGTTTTTGTGGCCTTATAAAGTGTGCAAATCTACCTGTGGGGTTAAATCTGATCTAAATATTTCTTGTCATTTCATGTTTAATCCTGATAAATCAAAAATAAAGTCAGCACCATGAACGAAAACTACCTTCACTACAGCCCTTTTATACAGTCATTTGACCAATGGAAATACTGTGTTTCTACATAGGATAACAGGTTACAACCTAGTAACTTTGGCAACTGTTGGTGGGCCAAATTTGGCCCGCGGGCCCCACTTTGGGCTCCTCTGTTCTAAAGTACATCACTTTTAAGTTTAATACACACAAAGCTTTGATGATAGAGGGGTCATTTCTCATTCTGAGTGTGTAAAACAAACAATAAAAATGAGCTCTTAACCTTAGCTAAAATGATTTAACACGTATTCAGGCCCCAGTTTTAGTTTTGGTCATTACTTTTAATAATCTGAGAATACTTGTTTCTTATTGCTGCTCAAGTCAAGTGATTCAAAACTGCGAAATTCCGAAAATCTCTGTTCAAAACGTCACTTCGTTCAAATGTTTGCAGTTTTTAATTCGTTTTTGTCAGTTAGAGACTGATGTTCAGACTTTTGTGGTGGATCAGGAGCTCTTCATGATGTAGCTTATACCACAAAAAGCATCCAGTTCTCTTCGTGTTATTTGTTCTTCACGACGAATTATAGATAAATGTTTTTCCACTCCATTTGTTGGAGAAAGCTGCTCATAACTGTGATAAATGAGTTGAAATGACAACAAAAAAGGTTTTATGCTGACTTTGTCCTTTCGCACATGAAGGATTGAAGTGATTTCGGTCTACTTTGTAATACTTATTTGACAGCACAAATAAAATACTAAACTCGTGTTATGAGTTTTCAGGGGTTTGATGACCACCCCCCCCCCCCCACACACACACACACACACACTCCACCCCCCGGGAGTGTTTGGGCCCCAGAAAAGCGCCTATACCCTTGCACATCCTGCAGATTACAGTTAGCTAATCTCAAGAATAAGTTCAAACTTAATTCAAACTTATCCTTTATCACTTTTCTTCTATCCTGGAAGTCTGTTCCTTGTATACCCATTATTTTGGGCTCTGGAGGGGACATTTCAGGACAAAATAATAATAATAAAAACAGACATGTCAGATTTTTCTTTTTACCACTATTTATTTGTTCACAAATTCTCTCCTATGGGTATTATTATTATTATTATTATTATTATTATTATTATTATTATTATTATTATTATTATTATTATTATTATTATCAGCCCCTATGGAACAGCTGATCATCACATGCTTCATGTCTCCCCCTGTAATGAATTCTTTCCATTAATGCGGCTTTGAAGCAGCTTTCTGAGTCAGTCATGCATCAGTAGGAAAGTGAAACATCTCTGAGCAGCAGGGGAACATATTTATAGACCAAGTGTGATGTTTCACATTCCGCTTTATCACCGAGCAGCGGCAGCAGTCAGTCTGCACAGAGCTGCTTTCATTTCTGCAGGACCTCAGCTCTCAGCCTGCAGGTGTGACCCGCTGCAGGCCCCGGAACTGAAAAAGAAAAAAAAAATCCTCAGCGTGAATAAATTTAGCTTCGCTAAGCAGAAATGTAAAGATTCTGATTGGATGTTGGCGTCCAGCAAGGCCGCGTTTCAGCTCTGCAGCTGGAAGAAGACAAAGCTTTTATTTGGTTGTTTTTTTTCTGCCTTCTTGTGGTTTTGAAGCAGCACCTTGAAGCAGAAAATGTCGCCTGGTGTAAAAAAGTAGGACAGCGAGCTCAGCTCAGCAGTTGCCCAGAAACCAGAGAGCCAATAATGTTCTGACACACAGAGCGCCTCTGTTTATTCATGTGCGCCTGTCGCCACTGCGGCTCCTGCGCTTTTCAGCGACTCGCAGCCAAATATGGAGAACCTGCAGCAGCAGCAGCGGTGTGTGCGTGTGTGCACGCGCGCCTCTCTCTCTCTCTCTCTGTGTGTGTGTGTGTGTGTGTGTGTGTGTGTGTGTGTGTGTGTGTGTGTGTGTGTGTGCTGATGGTCATGGAGAGCTGCCTCGCCGCTCTGTGTGTGTGGATTCCTCTCTGCTCCCTGTGGATGGGGGGAGGGGATTGGACGAGGGGAGTCTGTAATTGCCAAATCTTGTGTGAATGAGGGTCACCCTGTTCGACGCCGGTTTAAAATTGCACACATCACACCGAGGCGGACTGTTTATTGTGGCAATTTTCTGGCAGCGCTGATCGGTCTGAACATCTGTAACKAGAGGCCAAAACGAGGGTGGTGTATTTTTTATTTTTTCCTCTCGAGCTGCCTGGTGGAAGCGTATTTGCAGCTGGCCTTCACCCACCTCTGGTTATTTATGAGCCGGTGCTGAGTCAAGGCTTATATCAGGGGGCCAATTCCTCACAAATGGCACCGTCCTTTATCGGTCCGGCTACAATAACACACTAAATGTCTACTTTTAAAATTAAGGCGCTGAGTTACACAACCTATTCTTAGGAATATCCTTTAGTAATGTTCACGCAATTCCATTTMTATCCCCTGATTCTAATTAAAGATTGAGGAAGGATGTGCTTCAGGAGGGTGAATGTTTCAAAGGCGAAGGCAGATTTTCCCTGCTGTAGCCCTAATTGAATTTCTCCAGGATAATGAGAATATGGAATGGGTCGATTACCATGGAGAGCTATGCAAATAAGGCCCACAATGCTTTGCAGTGGCCCACGTGTGGGCATTCATTAGTGCTCTCAATCCCTGTTCCACTTTTGACCTTGAATAGGTAGAAGGGAATTTGTGAATACTAACAAAGCTTTAATCTCTTAAGTAATATAAACAGATTTTCAAGCTTCTGTGATGCAAAATAATGTTTCTTTTTTTTACAGAGAGAGGCAGGAGCAGATGATGGGATACCGAAAAAGAGGACCGAAACCAAAACATCTTTTGCTTCAGGTACTCATTGATGATTTCTCACCGTGTTGTGGAARGATCCTGAATCACTGAAACATGTCTGAAAGTTTCACTTTGGGCCTCCAGAACAGAAACACACAGTCAGTTCTGTCACACCTGCTGCTGCCAGTATGGCTGTGTCTATTAGTAGATTCCTTTGGTGGGGAGAGAGCTCCACAGCTGGACCTACCTCTACAGTCAACCTGAAACCTGAGGTTTGAAAGTGCAATGCATAAATGCGCTCGTTTAATTTTCTTTCAGGCTAAAAGGCTCAGGTGCAAAACATGGCTTGTTACTTTTCACAGCATTTTCATTGCTTTGAACCACATCGAAAGGTTTGACATCTTTGAATCTGTTCCTAATTGCTACGCCGTGAGACGGCAGAGTCACACARGGCCGGCAATCCGGACTAAAGCGTGACATGTCTTGTGACACTCCAGTGACCCGGGGTCACAGCCYCAGCTTCTTGAGCGTTTCGCTGCATTGCCCCTCTGACGGCTGCYGGGTCAGTCTGGACATGAGGAGTGGGGAGGGGGGGAGAGGCTTTAAACTGAGTCCTGATGGGATATTTGCTTTATTTTGCTTTATTAATTGAGCATTCAGAGTTGTTATATGTTTATCTTATAGCTTCGTATGAGTCTGTTCCATTCTGAGAGAAAACACTTAAATAAGTCCTTGTTTATCCAAATAATCTCAACCTCTTTTGCTTATGTGGACTTAGCTTAAAGGTCATACCTCTAAACATAAATTTTGAATGTCCTCTTGGCCCCTAATTTGAAGATAAAGGGGGTGAAATTGTTAGAATATTCCACTACAGATAAAAAGCAGATACACCATCAGTTGTTGCATAAACAGATGTGAAGTGTTTTTGCTGGAGATCCAAAAAGTCATGGAGTTTTGTCTTTATTTCCTGCTGACATCGACAATTGTTTATCCTTGTTAATGAAAATCAACAATGATATGTAAAGTAATACAACAGAGTACTTAAATATTATAATGATTGTTCCATTCAATCCATTGTCATAACATGGTTCATAGTTATCTGAATGCTTTTGATAAATATAGGTACAATTGAATTAAAATGCCCTTTTTATTTCTTTAAGGTGCCCTCGTTTGCCCGAAGATCAAGCATTCCAGCAGGTTTTGAGGAAACGTCTCAGGATGCAGAGGCCACGCTCAAACCTGATCCTATCCAGGTCCAGCGCTCCCAGCCCCAGCAGTACCAGCTAAACAGCAAGAAACACCATCAGTACCAGCCCAACAGCCAGGAAGTGCCTGCTGACCAGTTAGCCAACAGCAGAAAGAAGTTCATCTATCAGCTGAACAGCAAAAAGCACCACCACTATGAACCTGACCCACATATGTACGATGCACAGGCTTCTAGGCTCAAGGAGGTGATCAAAATTCAGGAACCAGCCGGTATACCGGCTAATCCTGGGTGGAACTTGCCTCTGGCTCTGCAGCAGAAATGGATCCGTGACAAAGACACTGGCTGCTTAAGCAAAGTCAAAGAGCTGGCTGTGGAAATGAGGAAACCAGCGACTAAAGAGATACAAAGCGAGAATGCGCTCAAACCCAACCCTAAAGACGCTATGCTACCAAGTGCCATCAGCAGCAAAATGAAGATAATCAAGAATAAAAACAACAATGGACGTATCGTTATCGTCATGAGCAAGTATATGGACAGCAACAAAGTCCACAGTGCAAAGGACAAACACAGAGAGCCATCGAAAGAGGAGAAACCGCAACCTGTTAAACCAGCCGAGAACAATCCGACACTCAGGACCAAAATGCTCGAACACCCAGAGAACGGTATTCCCAAAGAGATCTGCAACGGCAGGTCCCTTTCTGATGCCGAGCACCCCATCAAGTGCTCCCCGAAGGACAGACATTTTTCCAAACCYTCACCGAGCACGGCCGAGGAGTACAACACCGAAGTGGCTCGAGGTCAAGCGGATTTACCGGAAGACTTGCCCATGCAGCTGACCGCCAGCTCTCCGCAGACATCTTGGACTGCCGACACCAACATCCCAACACCTACAGCCGTCGACCCCATCAGGATTCCTTCCTTTCCAGGGGACCGGAAGCGGAAGCTCTCAGATCCTGTCGTCGACAGAAACTTTGGCAAAGTCTACCTGATGTCAAGGAGCTTAAGCGTGCCCTGCAGTACGGTCGCACCACCTCAGGACAAACCCATGGACCTGCACTGTAGTGGCCCACGCCTCAGCAGTACGTCTARGTTTGAGGTGGAGGAGAGCCAAGAGGAGCCGATGGACCTCAGCTGCCCCAAAAACAGGAAGCAGGTTGAAACCGAAGCTCCGCGGCAACCGGAGCCCGAGCCTGCCATCAAAGTCGCGCCGCCTGGGAAAGAGGACGCTCAGAAATCGGCCAAAAAACCCAAGGAGCCACCGGCTAAAAACGTCTGCCCTTTTATGGGAAACATCATTATCACTGACATCACAACAAACAGTCTAACCGTCACCTTTAAGGAGTACGTTCCTTTCTGAGAATCCATCTGGACACGCTTGTTAATATGTGCATATGTACACAAACAAACAAAAACAACAAATAAAATTGTATATGTTGAAATTTATAATTTATAACTGAAATTTCAATTGTTTCCTACATTGTTTTATACTGTAACTCCTCCGTAACGTTGGATCCAAGACAGTGGCCTCGACTATTTGAGTGATTCAGGTGGAGATTTATCCACGTAAAAAAAAGAGAAAAATAATCAATCTATTTGTCATATGGAGCTTAAAACAATAACGTTGCTGTTTTTATATACCTTTACCAAACGTATAACTTYAGATTTATGAAGGTTTATACATGTTTTGTATCAATAATCTCTTATTTTGGTCCTAATGTTAGAGAGAGACTTGGCTGAGATCAGATTTAAAGCACTTAAAATGTTTTTTTTATTTAATGTTTGCTCGAGTGGAGGAGCTGCTCACGTCTCTTTTCTTTTTTCTTTCCAAATATTATTACAACAGTCAGGTGTCCTGACAGAGGGTTGGCTTAGTTTGGTTTTGCTGGTTTGTTTACAGACYTATACATTAGCCATGACTTGCAAATTGTGTCTGAACACATGTAAACACATTCACACGTCCACTCCTTTTAGGCAATCTCTCCACTTACGTTATCGAGATTATGCATCTTTAGCTCCTGATTTTTTACCGTTTGGGAGTAAAATCAGATCCATAAACTCTACAAGTTCAGTCACTTTAAGAGACAAGTGTCATTTATGACATGTGAGTTGCAGATAAGACAAAGTTGTTTACCTCCCACAGTGCAGGGTCTCATCTCATTTAGCTGCTGAAGCCTAGAAGATAATCTGCAGAGCACTATTATGAAACATTACCAGGGTCATTAAAAAAATAAAGTGTGTTATAGAGATTAAATGTGACTTTAAATCCTGTTACAGGCAAACCAATGAGTCGAAGCTGTTTTAATCGTGCTGCTGAAACTTCAAAGCTGTTGGATGTAAGCTGTGAGTTACATGGCCTTTCCCCCCCTTTTCCTGCACATTGAATGCAAACCCAGTCAGAAAGCTACAAGGCTAATGATGAAGGTGAAGAAGAGCGTGTGTTTAATGTTTTGTTTCYAAGCAGAAGCTGTTTCCTGCATCATGTGATCCCACTGTCGCTTCCTTTTGGTTTTTGCTCCTTTCTTGCACTCTGTTCAGCGTGGAAATGATTGTTAGAAAGTCTATCAGCCGGCTTGTTGTTTGCTCAGCTTCTCTGACATTTCACAATAAAGATTTGACCTCTGACATGCTGGTGGGCTGGTGTTTGGGTGAGGAGGGGGGGGTGTTTTTAATTGTTAGGGGAACATTTCTTAATCTTAGAAGATAAGCTGAATTTGCTCAGAAGGGAAAATGAAACACTTCTGTTTAGTTTTTTTTTTTATGAGGCTGGGATGGGAAACGGATCATGTTGCATAATTCCAAACGATCCTTTTTGCACAAAGGGCTCTGTGTGTTGCGTAACGGCCACCGGTCACTTGTGTTATTAAAACCTTTACCCGTGCATTATTTCTCCCAATTCAACGTGACCCCATGCAGGAATGTAAACACGAGCAGGAGGAGGTTATGTAATTCTTCGACTCTGTCATGGAGAAAGGCTCTCTGGGAGGTAAATAATCACCCCGCTGTGGACTGTGAGCTTGTTTTCCAGCTCAGTGCTGCAGGGAAAGGTGTCAGGATGACATTTAATTATATCCTCGCTGCTAGATCTTCATGTCGTTTCCATAACATTGGCTGAGCTGTTAGAGGAGACATGTTTTGGGAGCCTGAATGTGTCACAGTGACGCAGCAGTTCTCCCAAACCCTTTTTGTTGCAACAAAACTGAGTTTATTGCACTGAAGCACGATAAACACGCAGATTTATGGGTAAAAACATTAAATGACCTTTTCTTGACTTGGCCACATGTTGCAGGGCCTCTCCCAGCCTTTGATAATGAAAGGTCAGAAGGCCTGAGCTCTCAGCCGGCAGACAGAAATAGTTTTGTTTTGTTGTTGAACTGAAGCTGACAGAGTTTATGTGGACAAAAAAGGCACATGAATGTGTGTGAGATGTGTTTATGGGAGGTAATTATATTTAAAAAAGCTGACCGGACAAATTCAGACAGCTTTAAAAAACAAAGAATACTTCTAAAGCAGGGGTGCCCAAACATTTTCCCCAAGAGGGCCAAAATGAAAATCTATCCAGGGCTGCGGGCCAAATGTAGTAATATAATACATGAAATGCAAATACTTTTTAAGTAAAGTCCTTTATTTTTAATGATTAAAGTATGCAATGGCCCTCTTTTGTTTTAGTCTGTGCACTTGGAGAAAGTCTGCCATATGCTCAAATTGCAAAGGCACATGGGACATTTCATAAATTGATAAAATATGAGTTTTTGTGGCCTTATAAAGTGTGCAAATCTACCTGTGGGGTTAAATCTGATCTAAATATTTCTTGTCATTTCATGTTTAATCCTGATAAATCAAAAATAAAGTCAGCACCATGAACGAAAACTACCTTCACTACAGCCCTTTTATACAGTCATTTGACCAATGGAAATACTGTGTTTCTACATAGGATAACAGGTTACAACCTAGTAACTTTGGCAACTGTTGGTGGGCCAAATTTGGCCCGCGGGCCCCACTTTGGGCTCCTCTGTTCTAAAGTACATCACTTTTAAGTTTAATACACACAAAGCTTTGATGATAGAGGGGTCATTTCTCATTCTGAGTGTGTAAAACAAACAATAAAAATGAGCTCTTAACCTTAGCTAAAATGATTTAACACYTATTCAGGCCCCAGTTTTAGTTTTGGTCATTACTTTTAATAATCTGAGAATACTTGTTTCTTATTGCTGCTCAAGTCAAGTGATTCAAAACTGCGAAATTCCGAAAATCTCTGTTCAAAACGTCACTTCGTTCAAATGTTTGCAGTTTTTAATTCGTTTTTGTCAGTTAGAGACTGATGTTCAGACTTTTGTGGTGGATCAGGAGCTCTTCATGATGTAGCTTATACCACAAAAAGCATCCAGTTCTCTTCGTGTTATTTGTTCTTCACGACGAATTATAGATAAATGTTTTTCCACTCCATTTGTTGGAGAAAGCTGCTCATAACTGTGATAAATGAGTTGAAATGACAACAAAAAAGGTTTTATGCTGACTTTGTCCTTTCGCACATGAAGGATTGAAGTGATTTCGGTCTACTTTGTAATACTTATTTGACAGCACAAATAAAATACTAAACTCGTGTTATGAGTTTTCAGGGGTTTGATGACCACCCCCCCCCCCCCACACACACACACACACACACTCCACCCCCCGGGAGTGTTTGGGCCCCAGAAAAGCGCCTATACCCTTGCACATCCTGCAGATTACAGTTAGCTAATCTCAAGAATAAGTTCAAACTTAATTCAAACTTATCCTTTATCACTTTTCTTCTATCCTGGAAGTCTGTTCCTTGTATACCCATTATTTTGGGCTCTGGAGGGGACATTTCAGGACAAAATAATAATAATAAAAACAGACATGTCAGATTTTTCTTTTTACCACTATTTATTTGTTCACAAATTCTCTCCTATGGGTATTATTATTATTATTATTATTATTATTATTATTATTATTATTATTATTATTATTATTATTATTATTATTATCAGCCCCTATGGAACAGCTGATCATCACATGCTTCATGTCTCCCCCTGTAATGAATTCTTTCCATTAATGCGGCTTTGAAGCAGCTTTCTGAGTCAGTCATGCATCAGTAGGAAAGTGAAACATCTCTGAGCAGCAGGGGAACATATTTATAGACCAAGTGTGATGTTTCACATTCCGCTTTATCACCGAGCAGCGGCAGCAGTCAGTCTGCACAGAGCTGCTTTCATTTCTGCAGGACCTCAGCTCTCAGCCTGCAGGTGTGACCCGCTGCAGGCCCCGGAACTGAAAAAGAAAAAAAAAATCCTCAGCGTGAATAAATTTAGCTTCGCTAAGCAGAAATGTAAAGATTCTGATTGGATGTTGGCGTCCAGCAAGGCCGCGTTTCAGCTCTGCAGCTGGAAGAAGACAAAGCTTTTATTTGGTTGTTTTTTTTCTGCCTTCTTGTGGTTTTGAAGCAGCACCTTGAAGCAGAAAATGTCGCCTGGTGTAAAAAAGTAGGACAGCGAGCTCAGCTCAGCAGTTGCCCAGAAACCAGAGAGCCAATAATGTTCTGACACACAGAGCGCCTCTGTTTATTCATGTGCGCCTGTCGCCACTGCGGCTCCTGCGCTTTTCAGCGACTCGCAGCCAAATATGGAGAACCTGCAGCAGCAGCAGCGGTGTGTGCGTGTGTGCACGCGCGCCTCTCTCTCTCTCTCTCTGTGTGTGTGTGTGTGTCCGCTGCACAAACCGTGCAGGCTTCAGCCATTCTGCCACCGACAGGAAATGTCGGTCTGCGCGGATCAAAATGGTGGTTCATGTTCCGACGCTGCAGCCGCGGCGCATCTTTTGTCCGCGCGGCTGCAGCGCGCGCCCCTTTGTCTGCGGCTGCTGCCGTGAGGACAGACCGAGACAGAGACAAACAAACAAAAAAATGTCCAACATGTCACACAGGCGGGGTGGAGAAGAATAAATACAAACACAGACAGAGGAAGAGAGAGAGGGAGAGAGAGAGAGAGAGAAAAGCTGCTGCGCGCAGGCTGGCTACGCCCCTGATAATAATTTTATATTTAAATATTTAAAGCACATGCAGCTTCCCCAGATGATATTCAAGTTCATTCACAATTTATATTAAACATTTATGTTGCCTATTTAAACACAACAATTTAATCCAGACAGTCATCATTTAGCTGCTTCTTGTGGGAAAAGAAAAGCTTAAATATGACTTAATAACATCACCTGAGCAGACAGACAGGTAGAGGAAGCACAGACAGGGTCTGGTTCTGGGTTCTGGTTCAGCTCCTGCAGGCCTGAGCTGCTCGGATCCACCTCTCTTCTCAAT